AAAATGTAAAACAAAAAGTGAAATATAGTTGCACATCTCTGATTTACTGACCAGTTTATTTTAATACCCTCACACTCACGCTATTGTTGAATACTCAGCAGAATTCTACACAATGATCAGCTAACACAGAGACAATGGTCTTCTTTAGTATTCACTACGCACAAGAGCAGACAACAAACTAGTACAATTCATAGTTATTAAAGGAGCAGCCAAAAATCAAATTGATGAAGTTACAGTTTGAGGACATTTCAGGCAAAAAGATCGTTTTTTCATGGACTTGTTATTTTGGTCTATTTTGCTTCCATGTTTTCTTTCACTCTAATGGAAATAAAACTTCCCAAAAACACATATAAATGTTGTTCGTTTTACCATGTCAGAATTCATCCATAGATTTAAACATTACATTTCAGGGGGAAATACTGACTTGACGTGAGTAACTATCTGGGGAAGTTGTGAGGTGATGTGTTTTTCACCTGCAATGCCTCGGTAACTGCATGCAGATTAGCGCATTTTAATTAGGCCTAGTTAACGCCTAATTTGCATATCAATGTGGCGATTGTGATGACGTTATTAGATACACATTTTACTGTATTCACCTTTAGTGTCTGTCTCCCCTTCAGTACAGTACATTAGCCTGTATGCAGGGCTCTCGACTAACTTTTTTCACCATCCTCCCGGAACCGTCCCGAAATACAATCTAAGCCGTCCCGAAATTAATGTGGATCATCCCGAATTTAAAATATTTGTTTTTCTACATTATCATTAGTTAAAATCATTCAAAGTGACCTTTAACATAAATAAAACATCATACAAATCATTAGATGATAATTCATCAACCTTTTTATTTGAGTAAATCAGTCAAACACATAAACAAAGGCCAAATATATTAAAAAAAAACACACAAGCGAGAAAGTTACTCGTTAATCCAATCAAGTCCCATCCGATTAACAAAAAAATCCAACACTCTGTCCTGAAGACAGAAGACAGAACCCAGAGTAACCACTAACCAGGATGACAGTCTGTAACACAGTCAGGAGACCTTTACAAACTGCCCCGCCCCCTCGCACACAGACGGGAGAGAGAGCTCTCTTGTCTGGATTGGAAAGATCGAAAATACATCATAGACGCATTTTGTAGTCTTATTGCATATTAGAAACGGAGTTGGCGAAACTAAAACTGCAATATAATGTTCATGTAGCAATAATACATATGACATATGTTTTAAATGTCTCCAGTACCGATAAAAAGACCACTGTTGGTACCACTGTCTTTAATAATTCCGGCCCGTGGCCCGTTTAATGCCGGGGCTCGGTACCCATCCCTACATGGGGAGAGGCGAAGCATATTGCTAAGGACTAAATACGATGGAGAGTTCTCATCTCAGCTGCAATGACATGTCTGGAAACCCCCTCTAGGGTGCTCCATGCATAGCGCGCCGTCAAAAGCTGCTTCATAAGTTACGTTTTGTTTCTCCGCACCGCTCCGGGGTAAAAAAAATGGTAGTTACATCACAGCTGTGCGGCTGGCTGACAGCTGTAGCTACGTACTGTGTGTGTGTGTTTCGCGGGTTGCTAAATGCTTTGTGTGTGTTTATGTTGACAAGGAGGTTTAATAACTGTGTACTACACAAAACGTGCAGTCAGTTTCATTTTCATCGCCGTTCGTAGTAGAGTTAGCAGGGTATTTTTATTTTAACTCTCGTCCCAAATTCGTCCCAAAATTAATTTGTATCCTCCCCGACCCGATTTTTTTCGGCCCCGGGACGACGGGAGGTCCTTAAGCTCGAGCCCTGCTGTATGCCCGTGATAAATGGCCTTAGCTAAACCTTGAGCTAACTTATCCATTAGCTAGTAGCCTACCTTAGCTAACTATATTTGTTATTTTCGTTTAGCTAATTAGCTGTAAACTCGAGGCACTGGCAGTTTAGTCATTTGTTCATCACCACTCAGCTTCAAACAAGCCAAGAAAAGCCGGCATAACATGGGACAGTAAAGTGGGAGGTGCTGCTACCTGTCTGTCTGAAGGGACTGTAAGGTGGGAGGTGCTGCTACCTGTCTGTCTGAAGGGACTGTAAAGTGGGAGGTGCTGCTACCTGTCTGTCTGAAGGGACTGTAAGGTGGGAGGTGCTGCTACCTGTCTGTCTGAAGGGACAGTAAAGTGGGAGGTGCTGCTACCTGTCTGTCTGAAGGGACTGTAAGGTGGGAGGTGCTGCTACCTGTCTGTCTGAAGGGACAGTAAAGTGGGAGGTGCTGCTACCTGTCTGTCTGAAGGGACTGTAAGGTGGGAGGTGCTGCTACCTGTCTGTCTGAAGGGACAGTAAAGTGGGAGGTGCTGCTACCTGTCTGTCTGAAGGGACTGTAAAGTGGGAGGTGCTGCTACCTGTCTGTCTGAAGGGACTGTAAGGTGGGAGGTGCTGCTACCTGTCTGTCTGAAGGGACTGTAAGGTGGGAGGTGCTGCTGTCTGTCTGTCTGAAGGGACTGTAAGGTGGGAGGTGCTGCTACCTGTCTGTCTGAAGGGACAGTAAAGTGGGAGGTGCTGCTACCTGTCTGTCTGAAGGGACAGTAAAGTGGGAGGTGCTGCTACCTGTCTGTCTGAAGGGACTGTAAAGTGGGAGGTGCTGCTACCTGTCTGTCTGAAGGGACAGTAAGGTGGGAGGTGCTGCTACCTGTCTGTCTGAAGGGACTGTAAGGTGGGAGGTGCTGCTGCCTGTCTGTCTGAAGGGACTGTAAGGTGGGAGGTGCTGCTACCTGTCTGTCTGAAGGGACTGTAAAGTGGGAGGTGCTGCTACCTGTCTGTCTGAAGGGACTGTAAGGTGGGAGGTGCTGCTACCTGTCTGTCTGAAGGGACAGTAAAGTGGGAGGTGCTGCTACCTGTCTGTCTGAAGGGACTGTAAAGTGGGAGGTGCTGCTACCTGTCTGTCTGAAGGGACTGTAAGGTGGGAGGTGCTGCTACCTGTCTGTCTGAAGGGACTGTAAGGTGGGAGGTGCTGCTGTCTGTCTGTCTGAAGGGACTGTAAGGTGGGAGGTGCTGCTACCTGTCTGTCTGAAGGGACAGTAAAGTGGGAGGTGCTGCTACCTGTCTGTCTGAAGGGACAGTAAAGTGGGAGGTGCTGCTACCTGTCTGTCTGAAGGGACTGTAAAGTGGGAGGTGCTGCTACCTGTCTGTCTGAAGGGACAGTAAGGTGGGAGGTGCTGCTACCTGTCTGTCTGAAGGGACTGTAAGGTGGGAGGTGCTGCTGCCTGTCTGTCTGAAGGGACTGTAAGGTGGGAGGTGCTGCTACCTGTCTGTCTGAAGGGACTGTAAAGTGGGAGGTGCTGCTACCTGTCTGTCTGAAGGGACTGTAAGGTGGGAGGTGCTGCTACCTGTCTGTCTGAAGGGACAGTAAAGTGGGAGGTGCTGCTACCTGTCTGTCTGAAGGGACTGTAAAGTGGGAGGTGCTGCTACCTGTCTGTCTGAAGGGACTGTAAGGTGGGAGGTGCTGCTACCTGTCTGTCTGAAGGGACTGTAAGGTGGGAGGTGCTGCTGTCTGTCTGTCTGAAGGGACTGTAAGGTGGGAGGTGCTGCTACCTGTCTGTCTGAAGGGACAGTAAAGTGGGAGGTGCTGCTACCTGTCTGTCTGAAGGGACAGTAAAGTGGGAGGTGCTGCTACCTGTCTGTCTGAAGGGACTGTAAAGTGGGAGGTGCTGCTACCTGTCTGTCTGAAGGGACAGTAAGGTGGGAGGTGCTGCTACCTGTCTGTCTGAAGGGACTGTAAGGTGGGAGGTGCTGCTGCCTGTCTGTCTGAAGGGACTGTAAGGTGGGAGGTGCTGCTACCTGTCTGTCGGGACTGTAAAGTGGGAGGTGCTGCTACCTGTCTGTCTGAAGGGACAGTAAAGTGGGAGGTGCTGCTACCTGTCTGTCTGAAGGGACAGTAAAGTGGGAGGTGCTGCTACCTGTCTGTCTGAAGGGACTGTAAGGTGGGAGGTGCTGCTACCTGTCTGTCTGAAGGGACAGTAAAGTGGGAGGTGCTGCTACCTGTCTGTCTGAAGGGACAGTAAAGTGGGAGGTGCTGCTACCTGTCTGTCTGAAGGGACTGTAAAGTGGGAGGTGCTGCTACCTGTCTGTCTGAAGGGACAGTAAAGTGGGAGGTGCTGCTACCTGTCTGTCTGAAGGGACAGTAAAGTGGGAGGTGCTGCTACCTGTCTGTCTGAAGGGACTGTAAAGTGGGAGGTGCTGCTACCTGTCTGTCTGAAGGGACTGTAAAGTGGGAGGTGCTGCTACCTGTCTGTCTGAAGGGACTGTAAGGTGGGAGGTGCTGCTACCTGTCTGTCTGAAGGGACTGTAAGGTGGGAGGTGCTGCTACCTGTCTGTCTGAAGGGACAGTAAAGTGGGAGGTGCTGCTACCTGTCTGTCTGAAGGGACAGTAAAGTGGGAGGTGCTGCTACCTGTCTGTCTGAAGGGACAGTAAAGTGGGAGGTGCTGCTACCTGTCTGTCTGAAGGGACAGTAAAGTGGGAGGTGCTGCTACCTGTCTGTCTGAAGGGACTGTAAAGTGGGAGGTGCTGCTACCTGTCTGTCTGAAGGGACTGTAAAGTGGGAGGTGCTGCTACCTGTCTGTCTGAAGGGACTGTAAGGTGGGAGGTGCTGCTACCTGTCTGTCTGAAGGGACTGTAAGGTGGGAGGTGCTGCTACCTGTCTGTCTGAAGGGACAGTAAAGTGGGAGGTGCTGCTACCTGTCTGTCTGAAGGGACTGTAAGGTGGGAGGTGCTGCTACCTGTCTGTCTGAAGGGACAGTAAAGTGGGAGGTGCTGCTACCTGTCTGTCTGAAGGGACAGTAAAGTGGGAGGTGCTGCTACCTGTCTGTCTGAAGGGACTGTAAAGTGGGAGGTGCTGCTACCTGTCTGTCTGAAGGGACAGTAAAGTGGGAGGTGCTGCTACCTGTCTGTCTGAAGGGACAGTAAAGTGGGAGGTGCTGCTACCTGTCTGTCTGAAGGGACAGTAAAGTGGGAGGTGCTGCTACCTGTCTGTCTGAAGGGACAGTAAAGTGGGAGGTGCTGCTACCTGTCTGTCAAGTGACTGCCGATGGAGGGAGGGATGGAGGGAGAGCTACGGAACTTCAGAGTCTAATCTCCCGACCTGATATTTAAATTTTGTATTCAATCAATATCTTTTTGGAAAGAGAAACTGTGCGCAAACAGCAGTAGATAAATATTCATTTATAAAAAATAAAAAAAGGGGGAAAAAGGGCACTTTCTCTGGAGGAAGAAAAAGGGCAGGGGCTCAAGCCCACTTTGATGTCTATGTGTGCACGTGCCTGCATATTACACTGTTACAAGACCCTTATTACACTGTTATTACACCCATATTACACTGTTATAAGACCCCTATTACACTGTTATTACACCCATATTACACTGTTATAAGACCCTTATTACACTGTTACAAGACCCTTATTACACTGTTATTACACCCATATTACACTGTTATAAGACCCCTATTACACTGTTATTACACCCATATTACACTGTTATAAGATTCTTATTACACTGTTATTACACCCCAATCACATTGGTATAAGACAATTATTACACTGTTATAAGACCCTTATTACACTAAAAAAAGAATCAACAATAATTTAAAAGAAATGTGAATTATAAAGAATTTTCCAATTGTAAAACAATTTGGAAAATCCCGTGTTGAGCCGGATTAGAGCCAAATGTGAAAAAACATCTTTAATTTCTCATGAAAAAATAATTATTCCACATATGGCTCTAATCCTGTTCTGTATTAAAGTATATCTGATCTAATAATTATGAGCCGCAGCTGTGCTCAGTAATGTGCATTAAGAGTGCATGTCTGCTTTATTATACTGTTGTAAAACAGGATTATAGGTTTGAGATCATTAGTAATAATGAATGATTAGTGCCCCCCCACCCTTCTCTGTGTCATCCTTCTCCTCATGCTCCTCCTTCTCCTCCTGTTTCTCTTCTGCTGCTTGCTCTGTTCTGAGGACTCTTCATGTAAAAACTTCAAAATAAAAGAAAGAAGGAACAAAACAAAAAATAAAAATAAGAAACTAAAAAGAATTATATTTGCTTTTTTCCCCGAAAAAAAAAACCCAGGAGAAGATGTGTTCTTGATTGGCTGATGGACATGCAGATGGGGGGGGGGAGGAGCTTCTAATGCATGAGGACCAATCAGAGGAGAGGATCTCACCGTGCCGTGGGGGATGGTCAGGAAGCCGTTCTTCACGGAGCATTTCCTCTTCTGCCACACCTTCCTCAGCCTGAGGACACAGTTATTACACTACGAGCATAGGCAGCGTTCAACTGGAGGAACGACCACAATACACAGAGAGGAAAAGAGCGAGAACGAAACGTTTGCAAACCACATGTAAGGAATTCAAATGTCAGCATGAAGGGTCCTGCAGGGATCTTGTAGAGATAAGCTAAAATAAGCTAAGCTAAGCTAAAGGAGGCTAATGTTGGGCGTGATGACGTCTAGTCGTCTCATTTAGACTCTTGTTAGCAACCTCCGTGTTTTATGTCGTAGAACTAAAAGTTAAAACCTCTTCAGCTTGTTTCAGGATAACAACCAAAACACATTCAGGTAAGGAAGGGAAGAAATGCTGACTCATAATGCTGACTCATGTCAGGGTTTAGGACTCATGATGCTGACTCATGTCAGGGTTTAGGACTCATGATGCTGACTCATGTCAGGGTTTAGGACTCATAATGCTGACTCATGTTTAGGACTCATGATGCTGACTCATGCCAGGGTTTAGGACTCATAATGCTGACTCATGTTTAGGACTCATGATGCTGACTCATGTCAGGGTTTAGGACTCATGATGCTGACTCATGTCAGGGTTTAGGACTCATAATGCTGACTCATGTTTAGGACTCATGATGCTGACTCATGCCAGGGTTTAGGACTCATAATGCTGACTCATGCCAGGGTTTAGGACTCATGATGCTGACTCATGTCAGGGTTTAGGACTCATAATGCTGACTCATGTTTAGGACTCATGATGCTGACTCATGTCAGGGTTTAGGACTCATGATGCTGACTCATGTCAGGGTTTAGGACTCATAATGCTGAGTCTGGGTTGTATATGTTGTTGTGAGCGTGCTGCAGTAAGTGCGTTTCCTGTTGCATGCTGGGACTCTGAGTTCTCACCCCTCGCTCTTCTTGTAGAGCGTGCCGATGCGCTCGGTGCCGTGCGCCTTGTTGCCCTGCAGCTGGTGGAGGCTGTACCCGCTGGGCTTGGCCTGCGAGTCCTGCAACACAACACACGCTCTGACCTCCATCTTTGTAGTTTTCAGTTCAAATCCAAAGGTTTTATCCTCAGATGCTCAGCAGCTACAGTGGAGACAATGAAACTCTTCTGACCTGAGCTCCTCCAACAAGGCAACATATATAACAAAATACTAAAATAAAAAGTAGTGCAAGAAGTCTATATCATGTAAATAGAATATGATATGTACAAGAACAGAATATGAAATTAAATAATGTACATTAAGACAAAATTAAATACGATGACACCGGACTCAAAGCGAAGATTAGCATCACGTTACTCGCATCATTGGTGTTTACTCGCGTCACTCAAACAATACGATCTGGTGAGGAGGCGGGGCTTATCTCCATTTAGATAACAACAACAACATTGACATATTTTGATTTAATTGTACCACCCGTATCAAAATGATGCCGAAGTAACTACAAACTGATACCGGTTATTAAAAACATGACTCAGCGTTGTGGAGTGCTTACAGGACGTCAGCGAAACACTTCTACATGTTTTCTGAATGGAGACTCTCTCCCGGAGCCAGGTCTCGTCTATCCTCGTCTTTGCATCAACTTTACATGTCTGCGGAACAAAGCCTCTCAGGTGTGAATGCAGAAACACGCGGTACCTTAAGCATGCGGTACCTTCGACACGCTGTACCTTCGGCACGCAGTACCTTCGGCACGCGGTACCTTCGACACGCTGTACCTTAAGCATGTGGTACCTTCGACACGCGGTACCTTCGACACGCGGTACCTTCGACACCCGGTACCTTCAGCACGCGGTACCTTCAGCACGCGGTACCTTCAACATCCGGTACCTTCGACACGCTGTACCTTAAGCACCCGGTACCTTCAGCACGCGGTACCTTCTACACCCGGTACCTTCAGCACGCGGTACCTTCAGCACGTCTCACCTCCTTCTGCTCGGACCCCAGCGAGGCCTTCAGGACATCCCGGAGCTGAGTCAGCTGTTTCCTCTCCCCGTCCTGAGCCTGCTTTATCTGGACACCACAGAAGAAGAAGAAGAAGAAGAAGAGACACACGCTTATTATATTTGTGACTACCCGATGTACATGTCTGCACGATTTGCAAGCTGTAATGGAAAATAGTTTTTAGCTTAACATACAACAGAGACTGGAACAGAACCAGCTTTAACATAATACAACAATACAAGTGTGTGTGAGTGTGTGTGTGTGTGTGTGTGAGAGTGTGTGTTTGTGAGTGTGTGTGTGAGTGTGTGTTTGTGAGTGTGTGTTTGTGAGTGGGTGTGTGAGTGTGTGTGTGTGAGTGTGTGTGTGTGAGTGTGTGTTTGTGAGTGTGTGTGTGAGTGTGTGTTTGTGAGTGTGTGTTTGTGTGTGTGTGTGCGTGTGTGTGTGTGTGAGTGTGTGTGTGTGAGTTGTGGTGTTGTGACGTGTGTGTGTGTGTGTGTGTGTGATAGCGAGTGTGGTGTGGTGCGTGGTGTGTGTGGTGCGTGTGTGTTTGTGAGTGTGTGTGTGTGTGTGGTGTGTGGTGCGTGTGGTGTGTGTGTGAGAGTGTGTGTGTTGCGTGTGTGTGGTGTGCGTG